TAAAATAAGTTTTTTTTGTCCAGCAGCTTCAAATTTTTGTTTTTTCAAATAATAATTTGGAACAATGTTAGGAACAACTAGAACAACTTGGAACAACTAAAAAAATAACGAATTTCCAAACATGGGGGGCTACCATAAAAAAGTTTTTTTTGTCTAGCAGCTTCAAATTTGAGTTTTTTCTAATAATACTTTGGAACAATGTTAGGAACAACTAGAACAACTTGGAACAACTAAAATAATATTGAATTTCCAAACATGGGGGGCTACCATAGAAAAACGGTTTTTTTTGTCTGGCAGCTTCAAATTTGAGTTTTTTCAAATAATACTTTGGAACAATGTAGAACAAACATAGAACAACTCAGAACAACCTAGATAATAATAAAATTCAAAAAGTGGGGGGCTAACTTCACAGTGGTCAGGCCGAGGTCTTTGAGAAGGTTATAGAGAGATTTTGCTGGTATAGCTTTCGCTCCTACTTGTACCGCATATAACTCTATTTTTTTTATACACATAGCTACGGGTCTGAAGTGGATGAGTTTCCTACTCATCCACTTCTTCACTTCACTTCTCACATTAAAAAGTGTTTCGAAAAACGGTTCCCCAACTGCAATTACTGTTGATTTGAAACATCTATAAGCGCACGTAAAACCGATTTCTGGCGTGGCGACTCATGCCGCTATATGATGGTATATATGTATATATGTTACCGGCCAAACCCGATTTCAGGACAAACTAGTTTTGCCTAGGCTAAACTAGTTCTTCCTATACGCGATAGGATTAACTAGTATAGCCTAGTCCAAACTAATTTGTCCTAAGCCCGATAGGATAAACCAGTTTAGCCTAGGCCAAACTAGTTGATCCTGATATAAATACGCATACTCTAGGATAAACTAGTATGGCCTAGTCTAAACATTATGGTATATCTAGAAAGTCAAAATAAATACATAAACTGAATAAAATACTGCGTAATTGGAAAAATAATAATATTTATTAAAACGATAATGATTCATCGTTAAAAGTTATGGATAATTAGTATAGTTATAAATTTATTTTAGTCTGCATCGTAAGAATAAATTTATTCTGACGATGCAGACCTAAAAAGGCTGCGTCAATAAACGTCAATAAATAAATAAAGTTCGTGCCCGTTAAAACTAGTTTTATTTAATGAGTGATGTGCGTGAAAATCTAAAAAACAAATAATAATTGTTTTTTTAATAGAAGCAATAATCATATCTCAATTATTAAAATTGTTATTTATTTTTACATGGTATGCTTTGGTGGCACTTAGAATTGCAGAGTATCATTGCCTTCTTGCACTGGCATCTGTTTGTGGAACGGTTTTTGTTGCAGCTACATCTCACAAAACCTTGCCCTGATCCAACTGAATGTTTCGTAGCTGCAGTCCTTAACGATATTTCAGAGCCTTTGCTACCTCTAAAAAAGTTTGATTGCAAATGTCGAATTCTGATCTAAAAAAAAACATATTAGCTACTTAAGAATATCATTAATGCTCCAGAAAGATAGATAAGTAATTAAGTAAGAAAAATATAGCCTGCAATATAGTTTCTGAAGTACACCATATTTGGTGCCAACTTTGTAAATACCTTCGTCATTTTTCTGAAGAATTACTCCAATGATGTTTCTGAGATCACCTTTGCCTTTGTCAACGACTGGAATCGGTATAGTCACATTGTATCCAATGTTGGCAGGTGGATGAGACTTGTCAGAAGTATCTTTCATTTTCTAAGCCTGTTTCACAAGATTTTCTGCTGCAGTTGTTCTAGCTTTATGAATGTAATTTTCAGATGAAGAAACTTTTTCTTGGGTATCACGCATGTTAAGGTTACAGCTCGCATATGAGTAGCCGGCTTTACTGTCTTCCGAACTCCCGGTAAAAACAAAAGCATTAAACAAAAACCAAACAGCAAACACACTCCTTCCACTTTCTTCCAGCGTTCTTTTTACATGACGCGACCTGTACAAGTCCTGACATGTTTGTTCAATTACTTTCGACTCTGCTAAATTGGTTTAGTCTAGACCGTACTAGCTTATCCTAGAGTGTGCGTATTTATATCAGGATCAACTAGTTTGGCCTAGGCTAAACTGGTTTATCCTATCGGGCTTAGGACAAATTAGTTTGGACTAGGCTATACTAGTTAATCCTATCGCGTCTAGGAAGAACTAGTTTAGCCTAGGCAAAATTAGTTTGTCCTGAAATCGGGTTTGGCCGGTAACATATACAGTCTTTATGCAGTAGTGTGTACGGTGTGGCGACGCGTCGCCATGCGCAATCGAATTTGATTTTTGTATTTAATGAAAATAAATGTTTATTTAATAAACAGTCATCATTTTCTGGAATAAAAAATCTTAATATTTTATTTTATCATAATGCCATATTTAGTTCCTATCGCAATTTGTTCTTTTCTGCATATTACTTTTACAAAATAATGTCGATGTTTCTCATCTGCCAGGCTCAATTTTTCAGTTAGTCTTTGCCAGTGTTTTATTCTATAGGTTGTAGGGATTTCGCCTGAGTGATATTTATTTGCTGTGTCTGGCAGCCCTAGTGCGCTTGTCACACGGTCCAGTGCGCGCGCTGTTTTCTGCTGGATTTGATCCCTCGAGCGCCCCTCCCGCCGATTTTACTCACCCTCCGAAAGGGTCACCATGGTTTTTATATTAACAAGCGACAGTCCTGTAGTGACTTAAAAAAAGCTTTACAGAAATATAACGTTGTTGACGTTTTTTATGAATTTTTAGTGGGTGAAAGTTAAAATGTTTGTCCAACTAATTTATTATCTTTTGCCGATCTCCGTGGCCGAGCGGTTTGTATGCCGGCTTTCATGGTGTCACCGACTCGAGAAGTCCTGGGTTTGAATCCCGGTGGGGATGTTTGTGTGATGAATACGAGTATTTGTGCTCTATTCATGGATGTTTAATATGTATTTCTATATAAGTCTACTTATATATGTACAGTATATGTATTCTATCCGTTACCCTAGCATCCCATAACACAAGCCTTACTGTGCTTACTTTGGGGCTAGGCTAATTAATGGGTGTGTTTTTTTTTTAAAAATTAAAACAAAACTTCGTCCTATAAATCTTAGCTAATTACAGAGTCTCACAACGTGACCATATTACAAAATAATTATTGTTTCAATATGTTAAAAAACTATTGTTAACATCAAATACTTTTTCAAGGTTTTCTAAAGAACCCCTGTCCCGCATTCTCCTACCTCTTGGCCACCCTACCAGTCTGTCGGTATTTAGAGGCATCTGGTGCATGATGGATGGGCGCCCTAATCCTCGCGGCAAAGTGCCTCTAATAGTCTATGGTTTAAGTCTCTATGGTTCGAGCAACGGGATTTGGACGGACTCTTTGGATTCACCTATTTTTGATTAATGAGCGATAAAAAAAAGAAATACATCATTAATTACTTTTTACAATGTTTTTTTTCTAAGATGGACTGGGAGTGAAGAATGCACCAGTTTGTAACTTTACCGGTAGAACCACAAAGTGTGTAATTTTGTTAAATTCAGAAATACAATAAAATGTGTAGCGTATGGTGTACAACAATGAAAACACTTATTATAATTGAAGTAATAACATCTTATGGGAGGGTAAATCGCTTCGTTACGTAACGCGTTACGGCGGCAGTCTGTATGGCTTCCCTTTCTCTCAGGCATACGGCAGCGGTAGGCAGGCCACTCCTCTCTTACTCTACCCCGCGGCGCCGCTTAGATAAGTTTAAATTTTCACTTCTGTCGTGCAATTTTCAAATAGCCCCGAAAACGTTTCTCTGGACAATATGGCGTTTTACTAGTAAGTGACGTCACACGACTGTTATTAAAACGTCAAACGATACAATGTAATGTCACTTTAACCGGAAGTTTACTTATGTGTGACGTCATTTTAGGCTCCGCCAATCCCAAGCGTTTTGGGTCACGTGACAATAGATAAGAAAACTATTATCTTTTACGTGGGTTTTTAGTAAAATCATGAATATTTTTTTGCGTCTCGAGACACACAAGTTTTTTAACCGACTTCAAATAAGGAGGAGTGTTCGACTGTATATTTTTTTTATGTATGTTCACCGATATCTCCGTCAATTATGGACCGATTTCCAAGATTCTGTTTTTATTCGAAAGGGTGCACTTCCGAGGTGGTCCCTTTGGAACCAAATCAGGATCTGATGGTGGAATTCTGCGAAATCGAGGGAAACCTTCTTATAAAAAAAAATATTACTTGGAGGATGTAATTTTCACGATACTTTGTTTTTAAGTACACCGATTACTTGAAGATTTCTGGTCCAATTTGAGTGATTCTTCTTTTGTTCAATTGGAGATACTTGCCGTTTGGTTCCATAAAAAAATATTTTGTTTGATCCAGTAGTTTTTATTTAATGAGCATTGGAGGTGACTCCCTGTAATTTATAGTAATATATGTTATTAACGGGATTGCTACCATGTACCTTGTTTTTAGTGAGTTTCCGATATTTCGGCACTGTTGCAATCCCGTTCATAACATATCTATATATATAAAACTCAAAGGTCTGACTGACTGACTGACATAGTGATCTATCAACGCACAGCCCAAACCACTGGACGGATCGGGCTAAAATTTGGCATGCAGGTAGATGTTATGAGGTAGGCATCCGCTAAGAAAGGATTTTGATCAATTCTACCTCCAAGGGAATAAAATAGGGAATGAAATTTTGTATGAAACTTTGTCAATTTTAAACCGATTGGGCTGAGACTTTGCGTGCAGGTATAAGAAGAATCATAGATGAATGTCATTGTGTATAATACAAGCCTGAGAACAAAAACTGTAGTCTACACTTCAGCTCTACACCGAAGCGAAGCGAGGGCGGGCCGCTAGTAACATATATTACTATAATGTAAGTGACCATGAAAGTTTAAAACAATATATCCCTGTAATTGTATAATAAAAATATCAGCTGTTGGTCTTCTTAGTGTAAATAAATACAAGATATTCTTACCTCTCGATGCCGGTGAGACGAGGGTGTCTGTACTTCTTGGAGAACAGCAAACCGCCACCCCATGCCGCCTGTGGTACAATATAATAAGTATAATACATAACTATATGTATAAATGAATCCCTACTTATATATATCCTTTGGTCATGATCTGATTAGAAAATACATACTTCTTGTACAAGCCATTATAATTGTATTTTATTAAGTTTGTATTGCGAGTCGATGCACTCTGAACTGCTGACACAGTTGACGCACTAATAGGGGTGATGACGGGGTACAGTAAACGAAATTCTATTTAGTCCGTCAGTTAGATGATCAAAAAATAATGGACACTTATTTTTTCTTTGGATAAGCAACCAAAAAATGACAAAGTTATAGCGAGTCAAAGTTTGGGAGTAGGGGCTCGTGACGTCACTTTTGAGTGAATTTTCACTTACAAGTGCACTCAAACGTGACGTCATGCGACTTTTCAAATCAATATATCTCTGCAATGTTCATATTATGTGAAAAAAGAAAAAATACGGATCGAATACTTTTTGATAATATACCTGAAACACGAAGAAAAAAAAATAATCATCATCCCTATTGGTTTAAGAACAATATTTTGCCGTATTTTAATTGACTTGATTATATTGACGTATTTTAATAATTATCTCCTTACAATCGTCCCGTGACTAATTAACATATTGACAGTCGTTAGGGTCCTAGTAACGGCCCCTACGCTTCTATTTATTATATCTATTCAAGTAATATTGGAGTTTTTTCTAGTAAAATTTTCTTGAAATTGGGACATCCAGTTTAAATACTTAAAAAATTAAAGTATAGCAAAATATCATAAGATGTCAATCTATTGAAATCAAAACGAATTTCTGTTGGCCTTGTTTGCGGCATTACAGTGTATCGACATTGTTATCTCACCGTTAACGATATTAAATACCCTAGATACACCACGTGCGCTCATAATGTGTCCCAATCAAGAAGTGCTTAAACACGACTCAAGCACTTCTTGGTTCACAGTCACGCACGGACTGTTGGAAAGTCAACATGCCGCTGAGCTCCGTGAAAAAATGACGTTTTTTCGACAGGTATCTAATCAATGTTTGTTAATTTAACGCATTTAAAGTAAATTTTGTTTTAATAATTACTACAAACTGATTTAATAGAAAATATTTGTGATATTCAAAAGCATGGTCGGTAATATAGCCCTTTCTTTTCCTCGCGGTCCGTACCTGGAGCTCTACTCTCTTTCTCCGAAACGAAATTTCGGTAACGAACGAATTTCAAACGAAATTTCGCCAGTGTTTCTACTCTATTTCATTTTCGAACAGGCACATTAACTTCGGAACCATAAACAGTTTTCGTGAATGAATGGAATGAGTCATGTTTTTGAGTTCTTTTTATCTCTACTTTTAAGAAAACGTTTTTTTACTTTGAAACAATATAGGTAGTTTACGGCAAATTTTTTGATGACATTGAAAGAACCTTCTTTGACAGTGTTAGCCGACTAATTTGTAGAGTCGATACAATCTACTGTATGTCAACCTCAATTTGTCGTTTAATATTTTGAACTATCGAAATTACAAAAAATAATAAAAAAATGGTTTATTTGTTAATTTTACATGCTAAAAATGTTTCTTGAGCTAAGCAGCTATTATTAAAAATACTATTGCAAGTATTTTAGGCTTAATTAAAACAAAAATCTCAAAACGAAAATGAAAAGGTAACACTTTACATTTCGTCGATTTGAGGTTAAAATTTCGAACAATTATCTGTCAAATTCAACTTTTCCTTCGAAAGTTTTGTGAATTAGAGTAGGCTTGGAGAATTTAATTGTCAAAATATTTCGGACGAACGAAATTTCGAAATGAAAAGGAAACAGAGTAGGGAACGTGCGAAATTTCGATCGAAATTTCGTTATTCGTTGAAATAGAGTAGGCCTCCTGCTATATTGCTAACATCGCATTCAGATCTGCGCGTAGAATCAAAGAAATAGGGTCTATATTCTTCCGCATATAGCAATAAGTCGTACAATTTTACGAGCTTGCGTTTCGGACTGTCATAACTCTTTGACGCATGCGTTTTAATTAAGACCTTATACAGTATGCTTTAAAGTTGATTTTCAATGTTTAAATAATGCGTTATATTATTTAGACTACGCGATCATCTAACGGAGCTCCGTGGATCGTTCAATGCACCTTGTGGACAGGATTCGGGCATGATTTTCTAGGTGTATCTAAGGTATTTAATATCGCTGCTCACCGTCCCCAAACCCGGTGACGCTGTAAAGGTCTTCCCCATTGGCCTTACAAAACTTGCACTGCCAAAAAGTTATTAGATTTTTTTGAAGGTTAAATTTCTAATTCTACACGCCCTAACTCTCCCTACGCAGGGCTTACATTGTAGGCAGTCCAAAGGGGAAGATCTTCCTCCGAAGTGGGTGATGTTAGCTCGAGGGCCGCGGACCGACTGATGTTGGTCGGGCATCGTATATATGAAGTGTTAGCCTCCGAATTTTACTTGTGCGATTTAGGCTTCTATACGTTGTAAGTGTAGCGCCGTTAGCGCCATCTCTTGAGGAGGTGAGTGACTATTTCCTCCATGTTGATTATATGTGGGGCATTAAATGTCGCCGCCACAACATCATAAACTCCTATAGGTACCTTAGTCAAAATATTCTTTGCGATAGGTTCTCTTTTCAGTAGTATAATTTTTTTCTTAATGTTGTTCGCGTATATCTAAGAGATGCGTGGTCCATAGAATACAGAAAGAGGTCAGAAGGCACTTATGGGGGGGGGGGGGGGGCAGGCGCGCTACAGTTATGTGTCAGCAAATGCTCATAACTTGACCTAAACTTCGTTCTGATTGCGTCGTTGCTTTCGCGTGTGAGCGCTAATTGGTTCGATTTTTTGATGTCGCGTCATTTGATTGGCTATTATCTTTTAGTGGGGGAAAGCCGGCGACATCAAAAAAAAATTGGAAAAATATACAATTTTTGAAAAAAGTCTAAAGGAATATCTTATTAATAAATCCTATTAAAATTTAATAGAGTTTTTTCAAGATAAACATATTTGATATATAATTTTAATGAAGTAATAATAAAACTTATTAAATTTCATGACATACTATATTAAAAATTCTGAGTGTGAAAATTGTATATTAATTTCTATAGTTTTTAAATTGTGAAATATATGTACTTTTTAATTTTAATTTTGGTAAGATGCATGTATAATAATTGAATTGAATTTTTTTATAATATATTTGATAGTTTATTTAAATAATAGTTTAAGTAAAACTGCAACGCCCTTGCAGGGTGTCATTTGTACAACTTAATATTGTTGTTTTTTGTACTATCTGTGGCATGCAATAAAGAATAAAGAAATAATAAAGATAACGACATCGGTTCCTGTACAAACGGTCTATTATCATCTTTCTTACCTCTTTTTGTGTTCTATATCTTTTTGTGTGCGTGGACCGATTTAGATGATTCTATTTCTGGTTGGATAAGTTTTTTGGCGATTATCTTGGCACCATATTTGAAAGAAGCTGGAAGCTTTTTTTAGCCGAGTGGCCATGTTTTTTGATAGATATGTGTACTCACGTCAACATGCATCCACATATCGTATTTTTGGCAGATATCAGCGATCTCGACCAATGGATCGAAGGCTCCCAGTACGGTGGTTCCTGAAGTTGCATTCACGAAGAATGGCACCTGAATACAACCAGAAAACATGAGTCAAACAATAGCAAAGTTAAAAGATCTATTAAATACAGATAATATAGTTTTTTTTATAGCGAGGTAGGCAAATGCCTCTACCCCACCTGATGTTAAGTGGTGATAAAGTCGGAACGCGAAGATAGCTGGTACAGCAGTTATAAACTGCCACACCAACCATCCTCACCTTGCCGGCCTGCAAAAAGGCTTCTTCACGCCTCTCTTAAAGGACCCCAGATTATAGGAAGGAGGGAACACTTGCGCGGGTAAAGAATTCCACTTACGAATAGTACGACAAAGAAATGAGTCACCAAATTTTTCGTGTAGGAATAGTGGCCACAGTAAGTTTTGTTTTTTAGGGGATTCAGTTAGGAGAGGCAACAGTGCGATATTTTTGGCGTTTTATTGGTTATGGTGGCCACTTACCATCAAACGGGTCATAGGCTTATTTGTCACTCTTTTACCCTAAAAAAAGTTATGGGTGGTGAAAAAAGATTTTGGGCGGTAAGAACTTTTTTATAAGTCAATATGAATAAAGTTTTATTTTCACTTCATCATTGTAATAAGCTTTTTGACAGTGTAAAAAGTATCCAATTGTAAATTATTCAAATGAAGGATGAATGAATTAATTAAAATATACTTTATCCAAACTTGAGAGAAAGTACTTTTGATGCGTTCAATGTTTTTTCTTGTCACCCATTCAAAACATCTTTTAGCTGATAAAATTTTGTATGTGTGTGTGTGTGTGTGTGTGCGTGTTTGTATGAGTGTGTACTCACATTGCCCCGTCCTTGTGGTATCGCACGAGTCACTTGAGTCGGACTGTATCATTTTGTCTCTATGTGTATATATGGGTGTGTGTGTATGTGTATGTATGAGTGTGTACTCACATTGCCCCTCCTTGTGGTACCGCACGAGTCGCTCGAGCTCGGACTGTATCATTTTGTTTGTATGTGTACGTGTATGTATGAGTGTGTACTCACATTGCCCCTGTCCTTGTGGCACCGCACGAGTCGCCGAACTGTATAATTTTGTTTGTATGTATATGTATATGTACGTGTATGTATGAGTGTGTACTCACATTGCCCCTGTCCTTGTCGTACCGCACGAGTCGCTCGAGCTCGAACTGTATAATTTTGTTTGTATGTTTATGTACGAGTGTGCACACACATTGCCCCTGTCCTTGTGGTATCGCACGAGTCCCTAGAGCTCGGATTGTATCATTTTGTCTGTATGTGTATGTATGAATGTGTGTGTATGTATATGTATGAGTGTGTACTCACATTGCCCCTGTCCTTATGGTACCGCACGAGTCGCTCCAGTTCGGAAGGTATCAATTTCCCGCGCTCGTCGCTCGGCACGGCGACGCAGTAGTCCGTGCCGAGGCCGCAGACGGAGGCGCAAGACTTCACCGAGTAGTGACACTGCATGACAAAAAGAAATATTGTATGGATACCAAATGCGAAATAAAATAAAACCTGTCGAGTGCGAGTCGGACTGACGCATGAAGGATGATGGCGATGGGAAAAATCATTTGTTTGTCTTTGTCACTGTCAACGTGCAAAGTACATTAAGTTTTGCCGCACACGGGCCACACGCCACAGCCACAAACGCCGCCACGAGAAGCTAGAAGCGGCTACTAAAGTAGGGACACGAAAAAAGTATCGATACTTTGTGGTATCGAGTACTTTTCCTTTCGATACCGATACTTTTGTACTCGATACTTGGTTTTCGATACTTCAACTAAATAACTAAACTAAAAAAAGTATCGATACTTTTAAAAATTTGGATAAGCGCCTTATATTGATGGCAACGCCATCTAGTGGTATCATAGAAAACCTTCTAAAACATTCGATTGCGTTGATATAATTGGAAGCAGAAGCAATCTAGTGTGTCTTGAGACTTACGTACTTGAGTAATTCACGTTTAGTTTTGCAGTTGATTATATTAACATTACACGTTTTTAAGAAAATCTACATTGCTTATAAGGTCCTATGAAATGTACTCGATACTTTGAAGTATCGATACTTTTGTTTCAATACTTTTACGAGCGCGATACTTTTTTTCCGATACTACTCATGAGTACAGTATCGATACTTTCTATTCGATATCGTGTCCCTATACTAAAGTGGCTGAAGCGCGCGACAGCGGCCGACTAAGGTAAGAAAGAGGGGTGGGGAATCGCGCGAGTGACTTGTGGCGGCGTTTGTATCGGAGCATTAAGTGGCCGGTGCGGGCCACAAGAAGCGAGCAACGACGATTTGTAGCGTGTGGCGGCCACCGGCGTACCGTGTGTGGCGAGTCCATATAAAATGTTTGAAAACTACAAGAAATATGCCGGTGGCGGCGTTTAATAATAATAATAATAATAATAAATTCATTTATTTGCATCACAAATTAGTACAATTATTATAAGCAGACATAAATGATTAAAAGTTTAACAGTTCTTAAATAACTAGTATGAACTACAAGCGTTTCGTGGTTGTGGTCGGTGGCCCTTGGGCGGCGACACTAAAAATCGGTGTTTCCAGTACTTGTTGTTTAATAAAGCATTTGCGACATCATATAGCAAAATTTCACATTGTAAGGATTGTTACGATTTTGAGATTTTTTTTAAAGCCAGGTAGGCAAATGGCTCTACCACACCTGATGTTAAGTGGTGATAAAGTCCAAACGCGAAGATAGCTGGTACAGCAGTTATAAACTGCAACACCAACCATCCTCACCTTGCCGGCCTGCAAAAATGCTTCTTCACGCCTCTCTTAAAGGACCACAGATTGTAGGAAGGAGGGAACACGTGCGCAGGCAACGAAAAAACACCCCTTAACGAAAATTGTCTAAAAATGCCAACCTTGGCGGTTGGCATTTCATTGTTAAATATAAATAAAAATAAAAAATCGTTTGTCTGTAAAGGCGGTTTACTGACAATAGTTGAACGTGACAACGTTTTTTTAAAATGTACATAGTTTTTACAAGTATGAATGTGCTTTGAGTTCGATAATTCTTTCGATCGAATAGTAAAGCAATTGATTTTTTACTCATCGTGAAATATTTCTGTTAACTGATTGTTATAGTTTTGTCAATTATAGCATAACCTACAATCGCTGCACTAGCGGACCGATGCTATTTATTTTAATGATGAAAGCACGAATATTCGACAGTATATCACAGAACATATATTTAGTATCGAAAGAATCATTACCTTTATCGCCGCAATTATCGTTGCTATAAACAATTGACACCACATTGACTTTTCGCTGCACTTCATATTTGACTAAAACATGTACATGCATAATTGTATAGCAGCTGTCCAAGTGAACGCATCGCTCACTCAAGTAGGAGAGAGACAGATGTTGAACGCTGCCGAACGTGGAGGCCGATTGTGCCTCTTTGTCGCTCGTTGCGCGCTCTCGCTTGCACTTCAAGCCTTAAATGGAACGCCTCAGAGCGAGGTAACACCGCATGAGTCATTTTTATTCGTGCGTGCAGCCGGCTCCATCGAATTATAAGACGTTGTCACGTCAAAAAAAATGTCATCAATTACCTCTAGATAATGATGTGTCACATGCTGGGGTAAAAAAGAAAAAAATTTTTCGTCACCTTTTTATGAATGGAATACCCCGTACGAAAAATAGTTTTATTGATTTTTTAGGTATTCGACTTTGGGCAAGCATTTTAGATAAAAATACAAAAAAAAAATCAGTTCTGTAACTTATTCCGTTTACGATCTAGAGACCCGTGAAATACGGACGGACAGACAGATGACAGAGTGACAGCAATTGGGTTCCATTTCTATCTTTTGGATACGGAACCCTAAGAAATGCGTGAGTGCTATGGTACACTCGGTTGGAACGAGGTCATAAATATTACTATACCACCCACTAAACTACACTGAGCCCACGTGGGAAATCATGGCTCAATCTTCCTATTACATAAAAAAGGATCCTACGCATCAGTGCGGTGTAAGCCCAGTGCGGATTTGGTCCAGAGCGGATGGGGCCCAGTGCGGATTCGGCCGGTGCCCTATCCATCTTAATATCTTCCAATTCCATAAAAAAAGTATCCTACCCACCAATCTGCAGTGGGGCCGCGTGGTGGGACATGGATTGATCTACCGATTCCGTCAAACTATAAAGAAAACCACATTAAAGACTATGTTCCGTAGAATACATTCCTGCTTTAAAAAAAGTTCTTTTTTTGGCTATATTTGTACTTCCTGGACCCAAGAGGTGATACTTCACACTAGGTTAGATTAGCGTTGTGACCATAACGCGCGAGCCGAGCGAGCAAAGCGAGCGTGCCTTGACAACAGCCGGCGAAGCGCCAGAAAAATCGTTAATAGAGACCTTTTCAACAAAAAAAAAATACAAGTATTTCACCTCTTGAGCCCAGGAAGTAGAGTTTTACCTTCTTTTATATGTTCGTACCTGGTCTGAAGTGAACATGACCAGGTGTCCAGGGATGCTGGTCAGCCCCTTCTCCTTGTACTGGGGGAACTTGTGGTGCCGAGCTGCCAAGAATGCGTACAGGTTGGACACCGAGCCACCTGTCAAAATGTAACAATTCACATCGTCAACATTTTAAAGAAAATTTCATTTTGCGGTTTAACTACAATGCGAAGAGATGGTGCTGTCTACCAGCCAAATGCTGGATGAAAATCTACGGAAATATGCCTATTTGTGTTTCGGTAGTATAGCGGTTATAGTGCATCCCCTACCAAAATATCAATCTTTATTAGCACACATGGACGGAGTGACTTTTTTAGTAAAAAAAAATCTGTACATTATATTAGGATTTTCGTGAAAATTCGATTTAACAAATCATCCTAACTACGATATTTATTTAGCTTGGTGAACATACTCGTACATATAAAACAATCAGTTTAATCTTAAAATAAAAAATATAACGGGGTCGATTCTAGGCATGATTCTTTAAACTTAAAACTAAATTTAACATCAGTCCCTCTTTTTTATTTTGTATAAAGAATGACAAGGATGCACTGTTGTCCAATTTAAGTTAAAGTTTAGAGAATCGTGCCACCATCACCACCAATATATCATCAATGTTCTTTTAATTAACGTCCACGCATCCGCAGTAGCAAGTCTGTCAACGATATTAAATACCCTAGATACACCAACACGAACAAAATCGTGCCCGAAACCTGTCCAAAAGGTACATTGAACTATCCACGGAGCTCCGTAAGATGATCGCGTTGTCAAAAACAATATAAGGCATTATTTAAACATTGAAAGTCACCTTTAATGCGTACTGTATAAGGTCTTAATTATGTAACTAAAGTATTGTTTTCACGAAGCTCTGCAGCAAATTTACTTTTCAACGGTCCGCCCGTGATTGTGAACCAAGAAGTGCTTGAGTAGTGTTCAAGCACTTCTTGATTGGGACAAATTTTGAGCGCACTTGGTGTATCTAAGGTATTTAATATTGTCACAAACGCTCTCGAAACGGAATCTCGAAAGTGCTAGACCGAATGTGCCAGAGCACCGCGGGCCGCGATAGGGGTCGAGTAATGCGGCTCATTCTAAAATGAGCCTTATGCAGTGCGTCGTAAGGGAGAAAGTGCAACGACATCTGCACTTGTTTACAAGTTATGCGCGTTACCTGCGTAGGTATAAGTGGGTACTTCGTACTCGCGGGTGCTAGCTAATTCTCAATTCAACAGGTACTTTCTAGAATGCGTCGATCGGCGTATATAAGCGCGATTGGCGCCGTGCAGAGACTGTTGAGTTTCAACAGTGATTTCGGAGCGAATCCAAAGGTGATCAAAGTGCAACAAAAGTGTTCAAGTGCGATTGTTTAGAGACTTGTATAGTGAAATACAGTGTTTAGTGAGTGTTTTGTAATTAACATTGTGTGTTAATTGTGTGAACTGTGTGGTGAATAAAGAACTGTCAAGCGTGAACTGGTATATAATTTCGAACCCCAGCCCGACACGTAACAATATCGTTATGGTCTGTAGTTTAGCTCAAGAATTTAGCAGCTATTCTTAACAGGCCTGGCGGTCTCACCTGGTGCTAGGATTGAATCCCCACTCTTCCAGCCGATCATGCTCCTCATCTTCTCCAAGACCACGTTCTCCATGAGTATGAAGACTGGTGCTATCTCGTAAGTGAACATGTTGGTGTTGGCAGCAGCTGTCAGCCATTCTCCTGCCAAAGAGATGATGTCCAGACCGCAGGACAGCTGATTGAAGAAATGAGGGTGCCCTGAGTGAAGAGAATGACACAGTTAACAACAAAGTTTAAGAGAATAACGGATTTCTAGCGTCTATAGAATATAAGGGATGTCGAAAATTGAAAAAAATATCGATACATCGATATTTTAAAAAATATCAATATCGGCTTCGATATATCGCGAAAAAAACATCGATATATCGATATATCGGACCAATTTTCCCAAAAATATCGCTCAAGTAAAATGACACGCGGAATAAAAATGGAACGAAAATTATCTCCCTAAAAATAGACCCTATTTTCGAATGATGACATAGACAATACTAAATACCGTACAGATCATAGATATGTTGTATATCATTAATCTGAGATCCAGTTACGATTTTTCCAGATACGAATTTAGTTAGATCGTGATATGCCGCTAATAATTAAAAAAATATCGTTTTTGATACGAATTTCGATATTGGTTATTTTGTATCGATGTATCGATATATCGAATCAAAATATATCGGCAAAAAATATCGATATATCGAACAAAAAATATCGATATATCGATACATCGATATATTTTCAACAAGCCTATAGGATATGGTGGCCGCTCACTTAATAAAAAAAACTTGTAACATATTATCTAAGAGTTATGTCATCATCATCATCAGCCTATGTCGCCACTGCTGGGGCACAGGCCTTCCCTATGGATGGAATAGGGAGATTGGGCCATGACCCACCACGCTGGCCCAGTGCGGATTGGCGGGTGCTAAGGACTGCAGATGCAGCCGGGACCAACGGCTTAACGTGCCTTCCGAAGCACGGAGGATCTCGAGATAGATGATTTTTGTTCACCCATCCAATGTCCGATCACTGAGTATGTTGCTTAACTTCAATGATCGCAGCCGAACGCGTTAACCACCTGCGTCATTGAGCTCCTCAAGAGTTATGTATGAGCTATTAATTGAATATTCGGTTCTTTTAGTTGTGAAACATTGAAATGAAATGAAATTAAATGAAAAGTCATTTATTCAGTCTAGGCTGTTACAAGCACTTGTGAAGGTCAAGAAGCTACGCCATCGGTTCGCAAAACTACGGCGGGAGACCTTGTACTGAGAAGAACCGGCAAGAAACTCAGCAAGGGCTGCTTTTTTCTCCCTGTATTGATATATACAGAGTCGTCAAGTTGAAAAATGATTTCAGAGATACATCTGAAGTCACCTTCCATTACATTATTAAGGATATAGATATATAGTTACAATAAATTTTATATTTAGTATATAGGAAGCGGCATTAGATAGGTACCATATTACTGTTTCAAAAACTGACTCATACCCATCAAATAACAAATTACAAGAAACACTATGTCCATGCATTTCGATCATTTAGATAATCATTAACTTTATAATAGCCCTTATTCATAAGAGTATTCTTAATCTGAGATTTAAATTTGGTTAGTGGAAGCTCAATCAGATCTTGGGGAACTTTGTTAAACAATGCAATACTACATCCCAGAAATGAACCTCTTGATTTTTGGAGTCTGAAACATGGAACGGCAAGTTTGTTATTATATCTCGTGTTAAAGTTATGGGTTTGACTTTTTTTTGAAAATGCGTCATAGTTTTTTCTTACATATACTAAATTTTCATAAATGTATTGCGATGCCAGTGTTAAAATATTAATTTCTTTAAATTTTTCTCTAAGAGATTCTCTTGCCTTTAAATTATATATGGCGCGAACAGCTCTCTTTTGCAGTACGAAAATACTTTCTATATTAGCAGCTGAGCCCCACAACAAAAGGCCATATGACATAACGCTATGAAAGTAACCAAAGTAAACCAATCTTGCCGTTTCCACATCAGTTAGAAGTCTTATTTTTTTAACAGCAAAAGCCGCAGAGCTCAGTCTACTTGATAAGGCATCAATATGAGGATCCCATTGCAAATGCGAGTCTAAAGTAATACCCAGAAACTTTGTAGAATCCACTAACTCTACAGGCTGGTCATTTATTTTTAAACTAGTATTAACCTGCCTCACATTAGGTAAAGTAAACTTAACACATTTTGTTTTACTAGAGTTTAGTTTTAAATTATTTACCGTAAACCAGTGAAGGACTTCAGAGAGAGCACAATTTACTTCGTCATAACAATCATTTCCTCTCCTAGCTTTAAACACTAAAGAGGTGTCATCAGCAAATAGTACTGTCTCACACAAATCTCTTGTAAAGTGAGGAAGGTCATTAATATAAATAAGGAAAAGCAATGGGCCCAATATTGAACCCTGGGGCACGCCCATAGAAATGGGTGCTCCTGTAGACTCAGCTTGATTTATAACCACTTTCTGAATCCTAGCAGAAAGATAAGACTGTATCAGACTTAGTGAAATATTTGATACACCATAATGCTTCATTTCATTTAACAATGTTTCATGGCTAACGCAGTCAAATGCCTTAGATAAATCGCAAAAAATGCCAATAGCATCGTGCTTACTCTCCCATATATCAAAGATGTGTTTGAGAAGTGCAGTTCCAGCATCAGTAGTACTTTTGCCTCTAGTGAAACCAAACTGTTTTAAATGAAATAGCTTATTTATAGAAAAGTGTGCTAGTAATTGGTTATAAATTATTTTCTCAAATACTTTACTTAGCGCTGGTAATACAGATATAGGCCTAAAATTGCTGGGATCTGATTTCTCACCAGCCTTAAAGAGAGGGATAACTTTAGCACATTTCATTAGATCTGGAAACACTCCCTCATCAATACATTTGTTAAATATAATGGCCAGTTGTGGCGCAATGACAGTGATAATCGGTTTTATTATATATGTTGATATTCCCCAATAATCCTCTGTCTTTTTAATTTTAATTGAATTAAAAGTTTTTATAATACAATCACTACTGATATGTCTAAAATGAAAATCATTACTGCACTTATCAACACTTGACTCAAGGAGGGTCATTGCTAACCTAGAACAAGAATTAAGATTTCTAGTTGTTTCAAATGGTGCACTAGAAAAGAAATTTTGAAAAGTGTTTGCAACGGCATCATCTGTCCTAATAATCTTATTGTCTATTTTTAAAGAATATGTATGTTCATTAAATTTATTTCTTCCAGTTTCATTATTAATTATATTCCAAGTTGTCTTTATTTTATTATCGGAAAGACTAATTTTTTTAGATAAAAACTTAGACTTTGCTATGGCACACACCTTTTAAAAAGTTTTTGAATAGTTTTTGACATATTCTATAAACTTAGGATCAGATGAGGTTGCCTTGAGAGCATATAATTGATACAACTTATTTCTACTTTTGTAAATACCCGGTGTGGCCCAATCACTAAATTTCTTTTTAGAGCTATGGCATTTAATTAATTTGCGTTTAAATATTTTATTGAATTCATCTTTAATTAAATTGAATAAATCTTCATACAAAATATTATTATTATTACAAACTGGTAAGTTCGATATTTTGTGATAAACGTTATCTTGAAATTTATTTATACCCGTTTGTGTAATTGGTCTACAAGTTAGGTCATGTTTGGGTGAAGCATGATGGTGTTCAATAGAGGCTAATTGTCCGCTATGATCAGAATTAATACAATTTATTATTGATTTATTAAAAACATTTCTATTACAAAAAATATTATCCAAACAGGTTGCTGATGCATGTGTGATGCGGGTAGGCTCAAAGAAGGTATGCTTCAAGTTATATGATCTAAATAAGTTTAGAAACCTACTCACTAATGGACACTTAACTAAAATGTTTATATTAAAATCACCACACACAACAACCACTTTATTACATTTACATACTATATTGAAAGTGTCTTCCATAGCGGACTCAAATTGAGTGTAATTCCCAGATGGGGGTCGATATACACATATTATGATCATTTCTTCCAGTTCCACGCAAGATAGTTCAACATTACGTTCAACTGAAAGTGAAACAATATCTGCACGTTCTTTGTATTTAAGATTATTCTGTAAGATTATGAGAGAACCTCCCCTGATAGCCGATTTCCTACAAAAACTACTAACAACTGTATAATTATCTAAGCCTGTAACTAATTCATAATTTCTGAGCCAGTGCTCTGTAATACATAAAATGTTTATATTCATTGTATTTAAAAATAAGCATAGTTCTAAGTCTTTACCAGAAAAGCCTTGTATATTTTGGTGAACAATATTTAGAAATTTAGACTTTTCCTTGGTCTTGATATAGCTAGAGAGCTCCTCTGTTGTCTTACGAACTAATTTAAATTACAATTAATGTCAGTATTTGGAACACATTCCAAAGTCTGATCCACATAATTATGCTGCTCAATAGAAGCAGTAGTGTTAGCCAAGTTTTTGGCTATGTGTGTAAAATAAAATAATAGCGAAGAAGCTATTTGTCTCTTATGGTAATATGAAAGATAATATTTATCTCTTGTCATTTTAAAATTATATATTAATTTATTTATATCAATTAAATGTACTTTTTGACCACTATACTGAGACATGGTACTTAATGTCAAATTTAGCCTGTACCTAATATTATTTTCTTCACTTGATAGACTCTTACTATAAGGAAATGTATACATAACTATTCTATTTACATTTAGAGAACACAAAGAGTTATAGTAAGTCATAATGTCATTTTTGCCAACATTACCTCTATTACCAATTAAAATAATTAAACTTGTATTTTTGTCAAGTTCAAGAGTTAATATTTTCTTCATTAATTGGTGCATTGTGACACCTGGCAAACAATAATTAATTGTACTTTCACCCAGCTGTTTTTGTAGTAAGCAACCCAGATCTTTACCAAATTCGTCACATAACATTATATACTTATGAAAGTTTCTCTGCTTAAAAGAATTACATCTAATTGTGGTCTCTGAGTGAACAGATTTATTAATCAAGGACTCACATACTGGATCAGTGTCATTTTCTTCAGTAATGCTCTGATTCGATACCAAAGAGTGACACTTTACAGGTGTGTCTTCGTGAAGGGAGGGGTTAGATAGACACTTTAAGGCCAGAATGTATTCATCTATCTGTTTTTT